GAGCTCCAGTTTTAACAAAATCTCAGGAAAAGATTCTGATTGTTCTGATTTGGTTCACAAACCCACTGCTTAAGCTGATCAGTGTTCCTAAAGGGACAGAGTCTGTTGCAGAAGGAAGGATAGAAAAACATTCATATGGTCATTCCTCCAATATGTGAAATAAGCAGACTTGGAGATGGCCCTGAGACATCAGGTGAGGCAGTAGAGCAAAATCTGGATATGTGAGCCTAGTACTCAAAGGACAGCACCACATGGAGATGTATATATATATATCTAATGGTTCAGAAAAGTACTTGATTGCCTTGACAAAATTAATGGCAAGGTGAATTCCACAAACTCAGTAAATAGATTAATTCATGATCACTATTACTCAGATGATTCTTAATATATACAAGGTCTTCCTAGAAAAAAGTCTAGCCATTGTTAATATAACAAGAATATCAATGTAACTTAGCAGCCAAGGAGAGTGGGCTGGAATGCTCATGTGTGAACTGTGACAACTTCACTGTACTAGTCAGTGGGGGTGGTAGACACTGTTGAGAGAGCATGTGTACTGGGTGTCTATCACATTCAAAATGACTGAGCGAGTAGACCAATGAATCTGCATCAGATTTTGTGTTAAGCTTAAACAGTCTCCTCAGGAGCTATTTGGATGATTCAGAAGGCCACAGCTGTGGGCAACTGGTTATTGGCAGCTTCATCACGACAACACGCCCCCTCAGGTGTCACATCTCAGGCAGAGTTTTTTAGCAAAACATCACCCAGGTGACCCAGACCTACTACAACCCAGACTTGGTGCCCTTTGACTTCTGGCTTTTCCCCAAACTAAAATCACCTTTGAAAGGGAAGAGATTTCAGACCATCAAGGAGTTTAAGGAAAATATGACGGGGCAGCTGATGGTGAATGGGAGAACTGTGTGAGGTGCCAAGGTGCCTACGTTGAAGGGGACTGAGACGTCATTGTCCTATGTACAATGTTTCTTGTGTCTTGTATCTTCTTCAATGAATGTCTCTTTCATAGCACATGACTGGATACTTTCTGGACAGACCTCGTATTTCACAGAGGTTTAAGTGGGATTAAATACTGAAGTTCATAGTTTCAAAGTGGTTTTATTTATCTAAAATTTTTTCAATTTCAGTTGACAGTCAATATGTTAGTTTCAGGTGTACAGCACAGTGATTAGACAGTTATGCAACTTACAAAGTGGTCCCCCCCAAAATAAATTGTTTTTAAAAGAAAGCAAACCTCACAACAGTATGTGCAGTGTCATTATAATTAAATACAATGTGTATGTAAGTATACAATCAGAGGTCTGTGTTTCCCAGATATAGGAACTCAGTTCCATTCCTCATCCACACAGAACTCAGGTGTCCCGGACTTGAACAACTGCATACAACCCGGACAGTTTTGCCATATTCAACCAGAACTACTTGATGCACAGCTTTGAAATTTTTTTCAAGTGAAAAGTCTCATAGGAAAAATAAATTCATTCTTTTATCAAACATCAGGTTCTTGTAGTGAAATATTTCTTCCCTCTACAAGGGCAGGCATGTGAAGGCGTTCTCTGGCAGGTCTTCCCATGGCCTGCAAGGGCCTTGGTGTTCTCCCTCTCCCCTGCCACTGCCCTCTCCCACCTGTGCTTCCAAGCCATGAGCCTTCGCCATGCCAAAATTGTTCCGTTACAGCCTTCACACTTATTTTTCCCTTTGTCTGGAACACTTTACTACAGACTTTGGCACAGTTCATTTCTTCTCAACATTCAGTCTTTAACCCAAATGTTACCTCCCAAGAAAGGTCTTCCCTGACCACCCAACCAAAAGTAGCTTACTCCAGCCCCCAACACATCTTCTGTTTATTTTTTCATGTGCTCACTATCTCATAGTAATTATGTATCATGTGCTTATTGCTAATCTCTTCCCTTTAAAGTGTAAGCTCTATGAAAGCAGAAACCTTGTCTGTATTGTCATCCTCCATCTCTAAAACAAAGCCTAACCACTTACTGAACATTTATGGTATGAAAAGACAGACTATTGGAATATTATCCAGTGCTAAAAAGAAATTAGCTCTCTTGGCATGAGAAGACATGGAGAAAAGTAAATGCATATTGTGAAGTGAAAGAAGTCAATTTGAAAAGGCTATACATGGTATGATTCCTACCATGTGACATTTTCAAAAAGGCCAAACTATGGAGACAGCAAAAAGATAGTGGTTGTCAGGGATTAAAAGGGAGATAGGGATGAATAAGTGGAACACCAAGGATGCTTAGGGCAACTCTGTATGATACATGTCCTAATACATTTGTTCAAACCCATAAAGTATGTAACACCCAGGGTGAACCCTAATGTAAACTATTAACTGTGGGTGATAATAATGTGTCAATGTAGGTTCACCAATTGTTATAAATGCACCAGTCTTGTGGGAAATGTTGATAATGAGGGAGGTTATACATAAGTGGGGTCAGGTGTATGGGAACTCTGTGCCTTCTGCTCAGTTTTGCTGTGAACCTAAAACTTTTCTACCAATAAAGTTTATTATATATATATACACATACACCAACCTACTGCCCAAGTTGCAGAAGTGGTTTAAGTGGAAAATCAAGAGAGATTATTTGACATTAGGATTGTCCTGGGAAAGCCAGAGCTCAGGAAGGTCTAAACCCAAAGTTTAGACAGTGTTTTCCAAATTGGAGCTCCATGTTTTGTGCTCAAATAAGGAAAACAGGTGTCTCTGTTGAGGAACTGAGTACTCATTCAGCTCCCAAATGTGTATTGTGAATACCTAGGGTGAACAGCAAATGCAGCTATTTCCTAACATTTGATCCAAAACCCATTTTTCATGCCATGTCTTTATTATTAATGAGTCTAAGTCCAGCGGAATGCCAGTGTTACCCTGTAGAGAAGCTTTAAATAGTCAAAATGTTTTTCCTCAGAACTAATCCAACACAATTATTTATTTTGTTTGGCTGATTCTAAACCACTGGAATCTAAGTTGCATGAAAATAGTATGTTTTGTCTGTTTTATTCACTGTCATGTTCCTAGTGTCCAGAGCAGTGCCTGACACATAGTAGGGACTCAATAAATATTTGTTGAAAGAATGAACTGGTGAGCAAATGAATAAGCAATTTTTATTCTGTCCACAGTCCTCAGTGAAGAGATCAGAATTTTGGTACAAGGTGCAGTAGCCCTTTTATTCATGGTTCCTCTGTCCACGGTTTCAGTAACCTACAGTCAACTGTGGTCTAGAAATATTACATGGAAAATTCCAGAAGTAAACAATTCATAAGTTTTAAATTGTGTGAGTTGCATGAGGAAATCTCATCTGAGCTGTGAATCATCCTTTTCCCAGCATATCCATGCTGTAGGTACAGTATAATAAGGTACTGTGAGAGCGAGAGAGACCACATGCACATAACATTTACCACAGTATACTGTTATAATTGTTCCATTTTATTACTATTGTTAATTTCTTACTGTGCCTCATTTATAAGTTAAACTTTATCACATATTTACACAGGAAAAAAACATAGTACAAATAGGGTTCAGTATATATTAGCATCCACTGTGGAGTCTTGGAACATACCCCCCACGGATAAGGGGAAACTACTGTAATTATATAAAATTCTGATCCACATGGTTCATACTTCTGGGCTATTTGTGTAACAGTTATTCTTGCTTCTGGTTCTCCCAATGTATTTTTTCTGGATGGAGAAGTTGGAGGAGTTAAGAAAATGAAACAAAGGCCCTGGCTGGTATAGTTCAGTGGATTGAGTGCGGGCCTGCAAACCAAACAACCATGGTTTGATTCCCAGTCCGGGCACATGCCTGGGTTGCAGGCCAGTTCCCAGCAGGGGACACACAAGAGGCAACCATACACTGATATTTCTCTCCCTCTCTCCTTCCCTTCCCCTCTGAAGATAGATAAATAAATAAAATCTTAAAAAAGAAAATGAAACGAAGCAGTGAAGACCTTGGGTTCTGACCCACTCTATTGGTGATAATAATACCTAACATTTGTATTGCAATTTTCTTCCAAAAGTTACTGCATTTGGTTCTCCATATATCACTGTGAGCCAGGTGTTATTACCTTCATTTTCAGGTAAATAGTCAGGCTTAGAGAGACTTTCCCAGTATCACTTAGGTAGTATTAGATTAGCCTTGATTAAAAACCTTGGTTTGCCATGTCCAAGTCCTTGTTTATTCCATTGCAGCAGCTGCCTCCCTAGCTGGTTGTGTGTACTGGAAAGTCCCCTCCCCATACTGGGCCTCAGTTCCCTCATCTGGAAAATGTCCAGATGATCTCTTAGATTCCTTCCAAATTTGAATTTATGACTCTATGAGCCTCGTTTTCCTCCATCACCTATTTAAAAAGTTGCTCCAGCTTTAAAATGCACTAAAATAATTAGATTTTATTTCTACTTATAATTGCACAGCTTTGTCAAAATCTGATTCAGATGTTCAAAGTAAAATTATTAAAATTTTCCCTTTATTTTTAAGTAATGCCTGGAAATAGAATACTTTGAAAAAGAAATGGTTTTGTTAAGCAGAGTACCCTCAGAAGGATCTTCATGATTTGTTTTTAAATGCCATGAAAGGATTTTTCTCTGACCTTATTTCACAACTAAAGATATGGTAGAAAATACAGCAACTTTTTCAGAAATGAAGCCATTTAGAGTGGAATAAAAATAAATATGGAATATTTAATCACCAAGTAGTTAAATAAATAAACCTTTCCAAAAAGAAAAGCCAAAGCCTGGTTTTTAGTTTATTGTTTACCTGAAAAATCCCTTTGTATGCATTATATGTTATATTATCCACATATAACTGCCATTAGGCCGCACAGCCAACAGAGCCAGTGAGCTGTATGTTTCTTCTACAGAGGGCATAGTGTTTTGTCTTGAACTTTATTGGTGGCCATATAGAGAAAACCTGCTTTTGGTGTCACATGAAGAAACTTTACACAGAAAACTACAACTACATAGTCTTTTTCAGATTTTATTTTGCTAAAAAGTAAAATTCACATGGGCAAAAAAAGAAAAACATGCAAAATATTTTTGCACACCTCTAACACACTATTTCACTTCTGAAATCTTAAAATTTAAAAAAAAAAACCCAAAGGAAAAGTACATGGGTTGAAAAATTAACATTATAAAAGCTAGATTCCTAACACAAACACTATAAATACAAGTCACTCGGGGGCGAAAAGTTAATGTTTATAAAGATTAAATAAATACCAACAATAAGGAGACAAGAATTACAGATCCAAAGTATACTTCCCACCATGAACTACTCAAAGTTGTGTTCAGTGCTGTAGGCTATCCATGATTTTAATTTAAACTAGATACGACCTTAATAACCCTGATGCTATATCAAAGTTGCAAACATGGAGAGAACATATTCGGAACTACCTCTTTTCCCTGCTACCTTTAAAAAGTGTTTTGTATGTGTGTGTGCTTTGGTAAATAATAGAGTCTTTCTACACTAGCTGTGACATGTAGAAAAACTGATTCAATAAATGAGTATGAAGTTCTACTGTGAGATATCTCACTCTTCTTTTTAATAATCATGTACTTTTTAATGCTCACCCTTGAGCATTAAAGTGTGTGTGTGTGTGTGTGTGTGTGTAAAAACCCTTTTTAAATGATATTTCTGGAAACTTAACTCTAGGGAATTTTTTTCCTTTCCTCATGACCAGTCCCTGATAATTTAATAGTTTTGTGGGGTTTTTTTTAAAGAAAAAACCTGCTTAGAGCCTTTCTGTACAGTCAGCAACCTTCTTGTTCCTATGTATTTGAACTTTCCAAAAATAACAGAATGCTCCAAGGTACTCGTGTGCAACTCCTGAAAAATCTCCAGGCACTTCCCACAGATTTTACCCTGCCTGGTGCTTTATAGTCACTTTCTCACAGCACCAAGTTAAATAGGGCCCTGTGATAGGAGCACATTTATGTCCCTGGGCCATCTGGAGGGTTTACCCTTGGAAAGAAACACAGACTTCCTGATAGGGACACATCCAGCTGCTTCCCTCTCCATTGGGGAGAAGGGACAGATTCAGGTAGAATGGCAGTTCCCTGGAAGCTGAGTTCTCAGAAGAAAAAGTGTTCTAATACTTTCTCATAAAAGATTTCAAGTGCTCAAAGAGAACATCTAAAATGGGAGAAGAGAGTAGCAATGAATGGGAAGAGTGCCTACGTATTGTGCTCAAGTGAGAAACATCCACTCAAACTGCTTACTTCAATGCCATGTTCAGTGAGCTAATAACAGTGTTTCCTAAAAGGGAAAGAGACTATATATCATTTCCAACCTCAGAAACAAAAGCTTCTCTCTTTATCCCCAAACACCTTCAAAATGCTTACTTAACACATACTATCACTAATATTTTAAAGAAGTTAGAAGACCCAAGTCTATTTCAGTACATACTTAAATAATGGCTACATCAACCCAGCTAATACATTTTCAAAATATTGGTCAAAATGGCAAACGAGTATGTATAAGTCCATCTTTTCCCTCCAGCAGTCAACACAATGGTACATGACCAGTGTGCTATATTTAAAGGAACATATGAGAAGATCGGTGCTGATCTAAGGTGGGAGGTCCTGCCAACTCATCCATTTTGACTGAGGTTAGCAGAATGTAAGGTTCCTCTTCCCCACCCAGAGTTTGGGCATGTTCTCAGATTATTTTTGCCATCCTGTGTCAGACACTGTCTCTCTTTTCTTTTCCACAGGTCACTAAGCCTGTTGGGCAAGGGGTGCTGAGGGAGATTTCATAAGTGAGCAGAGGACTGGGAGTAAAAGACATCACTGGGCATTCATGCTCATAAAGCAAAAAACAAAGGCCAAACAGAAGTCAGAGTCATTTTAAAATCTCTCATACATAGCAAAGCAAAACTGGAAAAACCCAACTTTACTTTCCCGTAGCAATTCAAAAAGGAGCTAAGCCTTCTGAGACATTAGATATTTCAGTATGAAAGCGGAGGGGAGCTGTCAGCAGTGTGAGCCAGAGGCCTCCTGGAAGCCAGGTCAATTGCCCATTGGCTCCCAGAAGACATCACTGCATGTCTGGGCTCCCTTTAGAATGTTCAACTCTGTTCAAGGTCTGAAGTCCAATGTTCAGAAGTAGCTGCACGACACTAGTAATGGAATAACACTTCCTTTTTTGGTGAGGAAGGCCCCATCGATGTGAGCTAACAATCTCTCAGCTCTGGCTCTAAAAATACCCTGCAGCTCCGACTGTTTGGCACTTTATTTTGTTTGCCAGAACAGCTCTAAAGAACTTCACAGAATGCTTCAGATTCTCCCTAACTGCCCTGAGCTCTGTCCCTGCTCTGCAGACCTCAGGAAGTGTATCACTTTCGGAAAGTTACTTTTTGTTTTTTACTTTTGAGTTCTTGGAATTTTGTCCTAAATGTCTGAAGTATAATTCCAGTCTTGGATTAATTACTAGCTTGGTTTAGGAATCTTCATTTGGCTTCTAGTCTGAACTATGCAAATACACAATCTGTGTACAGAAGAAAGGACTGAAATTATACTTCAAAAGAGCTCGGTTGCTTCCTGTTTTCCCTCTTTCCTGCAAAAGGAAACATCAGTCTTCTTGAATCCTTCGTTGCCAGAGGCAGGAGCTGCTCCTGCCTGTACACATCAGGTGCCCAGGTTCCCTACACGTTGACGGCATGCGCGTGCTTCTTGCACAGGGGTTTGTCCTTCTTGGAGTAGAATGGCTGTCCCTCCAGATTCACATGGCAGACCTGGGACAGAAAACAGGCTGCTGTGAAACAGGACCTTGTAGGCCATGAGGCAGGGGAACTTGAGCCAAAGATTTCAGTCGTCTCTTTAAGAAAACGCGCAGTCACATGCAGATGGGAGGAAAGGCAACAGCCTATCTCTCCCCACTATAAATCTTTAACAACTGTGACAGACTAGGTGCATTAAACTATACAAAATTTAAGGTTTCCAAAGAGAGACATGGAATAAAGCTCAATTAAATCAAATTAATTAAATTTAATGAAATAGAGAAAATATACATGATGAAGACCAGTTGATGCCATCCAAATATTAATAAGGAATCAATATAAGTTCATAAGTCAATATCCACAGAGTGGTTAACATCTAAAGAAAAAATGTTAGTAAACTAACAAACACATCAGAAAAATTATCCTTACTGATAATTAAAGGAAAACCTCCATAAATGCCACTGGAGACCTCTTAACTTAGTAAAATAAAAAAACAAAACAAAAGCAAAAACGCCTCCAATATCCTGTCACCTTTAATGTTATACAACCGTAGCTAAAAAGTGAGGAAAACAAGTAATCAAAAGCCAGCAATGCCAAAAGGGCACCAGGCCCATGTGTGCACTGCTAGGGACATGTGAATTAGCTCAGTCTTCTATAGAGGCTGTGGCAATACTAAGAGGAGTCATAAAGATGTGCCTGCCCTGCACCCCAGTAATCCTACCCTGGAGAATTCTATCGTGCAGAACTATTGCACAGACAAGGAAGCAACATGTGCTTGACTAAAAACTGAAAACCACTAAAATTTCTTTCAATAGGGATGATTAAATAAATTTTTATGATACATTTTTCCAGTGGAATGCCACCATGAAGAAGAGAAATTGAATATAGAAAATGAATGCAGGGAAATGTTACATGAAAAAAGAGGCAAAATGATGTATTCCCATGGTACCAACATATGGAAATATTACTGAAACGAGGAGCTAAGTAATACTTGTTGAGGTGCTGTGGGTCAAACAGCATGTTAGATATTCTATATGCAAGATCTCATTTAATTCTCACAAAAAACTTATGGGATAGGCATGACTTTTCCCTATTTCACAATTGAAAAAAGAAAGCTCGGAGAGCCCAAGTGTCTTGTTTAAGTCACAGACCGAGTAAACTGTAAAGCTGGGAACCCATGTCCAGGTCTGCAGGACTCCTATTCTAAGCTCATTTTCCTTACAGCGCCACAGCATAGAGGGGCTGTGTTTACTTGAAATTGTTCTGGGTTTACAAACTTGTGTAGAAGTAGCCTACCAATAGTTTTTTAGCCACCAATGTGTAGGTTGGCCCTGGGCAGGCAATAATGTCAAAGTGTCAGAGTCAACTGGGAAGTTAAATTGGCTGGGATCAGCCCCAGCCTCAGAGAGGGCCATGAGGATCCCTAACGGGGAGTCAAATTGGGGCCACAGTCAGGACACCAACATTGGATAAAGAAGTGTGAGTGGAGCTCCCATGTATGGACAGGCATGAGGATAGAGAAATCACCCTACCAAGATGAGGTTGTGTCAGTGAGCATGTGTCCACTCCAAGAGAGCTGGAAAGGAAAGCGACATCATGGTGGCCCCTTATGCAAGGCCCCAATGACCAGCTGAAATGTTATACTTGGGATCACACAGAGCTGCCAGTGGACTCTGGAAGACAATGACCTACACGTGTCTGAGAACATCCCAGGTAAATACAGTCATGAGTATAACCAGACACTTGTGGTGGCCTCAAGCTGCTGATGGCAACTTGGAGCCAAGTCCAAAAAGGTGGCACTCAAGATCCAGCTGAGGATAGGTTTCATGAGAGACAGAAAAGGCAGCTCTGGAGTCAGTTGGCAAGAAGATGCCCGTCAACCCTGCTTGGTCTGCAACACAGCTATCTGCTTGGGAGAAATCTGAGTTGTCAGGCTGGGGAATGTATTGGGGGACCAAAGATTAAGGAGTGAGGAAGGGCCAGAGCCTCAGAGGTGGCTCACTAATAAGATGGTGCTGAGGGCAGGAACTGTCAGAGAGAGGTTGTGCTCAGTGTCTTCGGCAGGCAGAATGCAAGGTGGCTTCATGGTGGAGGAGGCCTGCAGCCTACTCAGAACAGGGGCACAGCAGGAATGGCCCACCTCCCAGGTCTGTGGTTTAGAAATAGTAGTATTAGGGCCTGGCTGGGAAGAAGTGGAAACCATGGACAGTGCTGACCACAGAGTGGAAGGCAATGAAATAGGTCAGGTGCAGCAGTTCTTACCACTGCCCACAAAAGTTACACCACCACCAGTCCTCTCCTGATACCCACACTGGTATGGAAGGGCTTGAAACCAACTAAAGGTGGAGGAAACAGGGGGCCAGAAAGACATTTTTCCCCCAGTGAGGTAGGGCCCAAATCCTTTCTCCAGAACTCAGGTGCCAAAGGCAGACAGGAGCTGACCCACACTGCCCTTTCTAAGCCTTCGTTTCATGTGTTTTGGACTTTAAGATGCTGTCTTGTTCTGTTCTCTATTTGCCTGTATATGTTAGCTTTGTTTTCCTTTCAAGATTCTAAATTCCTTGAAGGTGGAGTTCTGGTACGCTCTTGTACCCACAAGACTTGGTAATTTGAATTAGCCTAAAGGACATGCTCTCCTGAGATATGAGTGATAGAAAAATCTGCACAACTAGAAGAGCTAGTCTTTATCTTCCTTTCTTACTAGTGTTTTTTAAGTTATAGAAAAATAGACACTCATTAAAAATGATTTGGAGTGGGAGAAAGGTTCTTCCTCTCCATCTAGCTGCAGCCATAATGTAAGCGAAGATGGGCACTTACAAGTGTATCCAGAAGCTCTGGAGGAATAAGCAGTCCGATGTGATGTGCTTCCTCCACAGGCCCCCCCCACCCCACCAGCCCCGATAAAGGGCGTAAGCTGGGATACAAGGCCAAGCAAGGTTATGTCATATATCGAATTTGTGTGCGCTGTGGTGGCCACAAATGCTTGTTCCTAAGGGTACAACCTATGGCAAGCCTGTCTATCTTGGTGTTAACCAGCTGAAGTTTGCCTGAAGCCTTCAGTCTGTTGCTTAGGAGCAAGCTGGGCACCACTGTGGGGCTCTAAAAGTCCTGAATTCTTACTGGGTTGGTGAAGATTCCACATACAAATCCTTTGAGGTTATCATCATTGATTCATTCCATAAGGCTGTCAGAAGGAATCCTGACACCCAATGGATCACCAAACTGGTCCACAAGCACAGGGAGATGCGAGGGCTCACATCTGCAGGCAGCAAGAGCCATGGCCTTGGAAAGGGCCATAGGTTCCGCTACACTATTGGTGGTTCTTGCTGTGCAGCTTGGAGAAGGCGTAATACTCTCCAGCTCTGCCATTTCTGCTAATATGTGTCACATTTGTAAAATTCTTACCTAATAAGCAATTTAGGATGCTAAAAAATGATTTGGAAATATAAGGTGATAGAAAGAGGAACCAAAAAAGCCCTCAAAGTTTTCCAAAAATTAGAACCATGTTTCACTTTGGTATATCTTAATGGGACAGTGAGTGCCATGCAGGGCTAGTAAGGGGGAAGACAATAATTCTCCATTATTGATTCTCCAAAAGATGAAATCTGGATCTGCCTGGTTTCTTTTGGTGGATCCTTTGGGTGATGCTATGAGTCTCTCACACCAGACTAGAATTTATTTGTAATCTCATCCTAAACAACCCTAAGCTTTACTGCTTCTTCTGGTCTCCCTCTGAGACTTATGTTCTTGTGACTCAGCCAAACACAGCAGGCTTGAATGAGCAGACCCACAGTCACATTTGCCACAGTTCCCTCTCCATGTGACGTAGACTTCTCATCACCCTGCCCTAGGACAACAGGCCTTCTGTACCACTATGTTCCCCGGACCTTCTCCAAGTCCCTTGGATCCTTCTAGAAGCTGGGTAACCAGACTTGCAGGCCGCATCTTAGGATCATACAAGCCATGGCTTGAATGTAAGGATCAGAGAGCCATGTTCTGTGTCTTGCTCAGCTGTGGCTCTGTAGGGGACAACCCCAAAGCCAGTATATTTATATAATTGTCTCTCTTTGAAGTGGAGGCCCCAATGTATTTAAAGGACTGTAAAAGGCAACTAGAGAATATATTTAAAGATGTAGGAAATCAGGGTTAGGGATTGAATTTGTGTCCCCCCAAAATCCATGTTGAAGTCCCAACCCCACAACTTCCCATTTCCTCAGCACAGGGACACAGCAGTGGTCTCATTTGGAAATAGGGTCTTTGCAGATATAATCAAGGTATAAGTTAAGGTGAGGTCATATTGGAGTGTGCTAGGTCCTTAATCCAATATGACCAATGTCCTTATAAGAGAAGCACACAGAGACAGACACGCAGAGAGGAAAATGCCATGTGAAGATAGACAAACAGAGGGCAAACAGCCATGTGATGATGGAGCCAGAGATGGGAGCCATGCAGCTATATGTGAAGAAACACCAAGGGCTGCTGGCAAATACCAGAAGCCAGGAGAGAAAGGCTGGCCCTGCTGATGCCTTGAATTTGGACTTCTAGCCCCCAGAACTGTGAAAGAATACATTTCTATTGTTAAGACATTAGTTTATGCTACTTTGTTATGGCAGACCTAGCAGACTAATACACAGAGTGAATAGGGTACACCCCACTAATTGGGGAGCAGTATAGAAATGAATTGAAAAACCTGAGGTATATTGCAGGTAAACTTTAGGACTTGTGTAGTCCTATGTCATAAGTCTATAAAAATTCTTCAACTCTAAACTATACAGATCTTTCATGCATTCCCAAAATTTACCTTGATTGGCTCTGATAAAAGTAAAACAGTAGGAATAGCACATTAATTTTCCCACATAAAGTTTGGTCAATGACAGACTATCAGTACAGGGCTTATTAGGGATGTCTATTTCCTAACTGATGCAGAGTCTAAATCTCAGTAGGCTCATTGCCATGTCCTCTCCCCAACCCAAAGCCCTTGAAAGGAAAATGCCAATCTCTCATGGTAAAAATGGCCTGGTTGTTTACCATAAATAAATTGTACATGGTTTTAATAGTTAGACTAGGGCTTATCTCCTAGCAACTACATATCAAGAACAAGACCATTTTGGAAAATGAAATAATATCCAGTCCTCCTTTCTAAAAGGTCGTTTCAAAAGAAACTTTATCTCAGTTTTTCATAGGATTAGTCAATAAGCTCCAAACTAGTGCTCCGGGTGAAAATGTAAGAGGAAACCTTTGAATCACTTCATCATATCTAAAATAAAACTATGAGAAGTCACCCACCTCTCTTTAAATCCAAGCATCATTCACTGCTCCCACCTACTAAGAATAATGCTAGTGAGGCAGAACTGGGACACTCTGTTGTCCTTAATAAAATGAAGAGTAACAGAGCAAAAATGGTTTATAAAAATTATTAGTAATAAAACTCTGTTCAACCGTGACCTATCAAGGCATCATGGTACTTGCCAGCCTTTAAAAATGATCAGAAATTTAGAATGCCAGAGTTGAAAGGATGTAGAGTGCTCATCATCTGGCCCACTTGGTCTCTCTTGCCCCTTCTCAGAAAGCCAGAACCCCAGGCTAAAAACATACCGCACAAATGAAGCAGGTGTCATGCCAGGTATGCCCCAGGGCTTCAATAAACTTGTCACCAGCCTCCACAGGGAAATCGCAGCCATGACACTTGGTACTGAACAGATTGACATAGTCTGAAATGAAAGGCAGAGTGAGGACCGGCACCCAGGCAGGCTAGGAGGAGCATCCGGCTGTGTCAACCCAAGGCCAGGACAACCCCTCAAATTGCTGGGCTGGGGGCAGTGGGTGAAACCCGACCGGTTACTTGTCATCTTTCAGACAAGATATTCAGTTACAAGATTTTCCCCCCTTTTTCAATAATTTGCACTTGTATTGTGCAGATTCAGGCTTAGTCACCATCTTGTGCTAGTTTGATTTGCAACACTTTGTCAACACCCTCATTAACTTTCTGCAGGGTGGTTTTCTCCTGTCTCTGTCACCTCTTATAGCCCAAACAGACCAATCAGAAAAAAAGGGGGGGGATCATATTTCTCAGCAGCTATGCTTATTTTGGAAGAATGAGAACCCTTAACTTTTTTATAGTTATTGAAGTTATTTGGTTGGTCATTCTTCTATTAGTGGGCATTTTAAAAATATTTTTCTTTTTATTGATTCCAGAGAGAGGGGAAGGGAGGGAGAAAGAGGAGAGAAACATTGATGTAAGAGATAAACATCAGTATGTTGCCTCTTGCATGAGCCCTGACTGGGGACTGAACCTGCAACCCAGGCATGTGCCTTGACCAGGATTTGAACCTGCAACCTTTTGGTTTGTAGAACATCACCCAAAAAACTGAGCTACACCAGTCAGGGCATTGGGTTTTTTGTTATGATAACAAATTTTCACTACTGGAAATAATATTTGAGTACTTTGTTGGGACATGTACCCCATACCTTCCCCCAGCCAAGGAGATAACAATACCAATATTATTTGCATAATGCTTTATAGTTTACTAAGCATTTTCACATAGACGGTATTATTTACTGGTGTCTCAATGTCAAGGTCTTTGTACTCCCAGCACAGGGCCTGCCTGACACATAAGTCAGTATGTAACACATATGTGTTGAATGAATGAGTGAATGGATAAATCAATTAATGAAATTAACCTTTGAAAAATCCCTCAAAGATTGAACTATCATTGTTTTTCTGTTTTGTTTTATTCTGTGGGTGAAGAAACTAGGGATCAAAGAGGGGAAGGGCCTGGCCAGGGTCACAAGACTAAGACACCGGTGCTAGGTCCTGGGCTTCTCTACCACAGGAACTGTCCTCTGTGGGTCTCATGGGCCGCAATTGTGCTGTACTCAATATAGAACTCCTCCGGGGTCTTCTAAGAAAGCTCAATGACTTTTATAAAGACTTAATTTCCCCAGAAGTGTACTGGTGTCTCCACAGCTCTGCCACAGTTGGCTTTTTCTTACGATGATTTTCTACTCGGGTCTCCTCGTGGATAGCAGCCCTGTTCACCATCACAGGCCACATACTGAGAGGCAGAGTGCCATGGAGGTTATGAATTTGGGTTCTGAAGAAAGGAAGAGCTGGGCTCAAATCCCAGCTCTATTATGGAATTGTTCAAACCTGAGGCAAGTTGCCTGACTTCTCAGTGCCTCCACTTTCTCATCTACATAATGGAAATAACTATAGTACCTAACTCACGAAATTGTTATACAGAATAAATAAAATAATGTCTGTGAAGTACTTGGCACAAATCCTCAAAATGTTGGCCTTTATTCTGAATGTCTTTATAAATGATGAAAGGGGAAAGGGAACTGATTCTAGTGCCATATGCCTATCCAATATTAGTGTTTTTCCATGTTGTTTAATCTTCACGGCAGCTCTGTGAAAAAGCATTATTTACACTCTAATTGTTTTTATTTTTTAAATATGTTTATTGATTTGAGAGAGAGAAACATTGATGTGAGAGAGAAACATTGATTGGTTGCCTCTCACATGTGCCCCAACTGGGGACCAACCAGGAACCCATGTATGTGCCCCAATCATCATCCTGAGACCTTTTGGTCTGCAGGATGATGCCCAACCAAATAAGCCACACCAGCCAAGGTGTATTATTCCCATTTTAAAGATGAGGAAACTAACTGTAGAGGTTCCATCACACAAGTAGTAAGGAGCATGATGGACTCCAAATTTATCACCCTCTTTCCATGACTTCATGCTGTCTCCAGTTATCTGTCATTGAGCTTTGATAAATTATATCTCTTGCATTTTTCTTATGTATGGTTTCCATTTTGGGGTTTAGTTATAGTTTGGCATGCAAATGCTTTTACATATATCACAGTCTATGAACTTTGTTTCTGACAGACTGCTTAGTTTCTTCAATAGGCAGAAATCCATCACCTCACCAGAGCTAAGAAAACATTATTCTGCTTCCTTTAGGAAGTTACAGAAGGTTTATTCTTCATTCTATGCTCTGTAGAAACTTATCAGTGTGGGATAGGAAACAGAGCTATAAACCAACCCATCTTCACTGGAGGACAAGCCCTGCACCTCACTACTGACTTCTCTCTCTTTACTCCCAGTTGGTCTCCAGATGTCCTGGGCTCTCCTCCACCTCCATGTCTCTGTATAAACCATGACCTGGGCTTGGAAAAACCCTCCTCATTTAGTCTGCCTGAACCTCTGGAATCCTTTGGGCCAGGCTCTCCTGGGAAGTTGTTACCCCCACCCCACCAAGAGGTATTAGATGGGCTTCCAGAGCACTTCACGTGGACTTCCCCTTCATTCATTCATTATCTCCTAACTGTCCACTTAGGAGCTGGGAATCACATGATGATGGTTCTACTTGAACTTTTGTGGGAAGAGACCCTCGCCTATATGTCCAGCTTCTTGCACATAAACTGGCACACATTTAATAGGTAAGTGATGAATTGATAGAGAAATGGCTCAAAAACCCTTATTAAATAGTAATTCCTTCTCCTGTTGTGAAGCCTATGGTTTTTCACAGGTTAAGCTCTTACAGTGGCTTATTTTATTTCTGGAATGTCTAGTCTTTCCTATTGATGGATTTTTCTGTTTTAAACTTGATTCTATATGACCTGGAGAATTGCCACTTTGCTTTAAAATTTGGTAGCATATATCTGACCCTAATACATTAAAAGAAAGGCTGATGTTTTCCCTCATTTATTCTACCAAAGAATGTAATCTGTATTGAATCAACTGTGCATATGGGCCTTTCCCACCAGAAACATAATGTATTTCCTCATTTATTTATTCTTTTTTAAGCATTTTTTAATTTAATTATTGTTCAAGTACAGTTTTCTGTCTTTTACTCCCATCCCAGTATTTCCTCATTTATTTATTATTTTCTTTATTTCTCCTATTAAGTCTTTATAATTTTCTTTGACTCTCTTCTGCCCTAAGTTGAATTCATACCCTGTATTTAAAGAATTTTATTGCTCTTATAGAAGGATTTCCATCCATAAAATCACAGATGCTCTCTGTTGAAAAAGGGCCTAGCGCTTTACCAGAGCAGTGGTTCTCAAATGCTAGAATCATCTGGAGGATGAATAAAAACACAGATTACCAGGCCCCACCTCTCAGAGTTTCTAATTCAATAGATCTGGTGTGATGCTGGAAGATATACTTTCTAATAGGTTCCCAGGTGATGTTAAAGCTTCTGGTCCTGGGACCACACTTGGATTTCCAAGACTAACTACATATAGGCATCACCTGGGTGAGAGAGGGGACCCCCCCCCCTCATGAAATTTCACTTACAGAGGTTTGGGAGTTTATGTTCTCTACCTCTTTAAAGTTCCCCTGGGTGATTATGATGCCCTGCAGGGCCAGGGCACTGCTCCAATGCAGGACAATCTGGAAGGGTCTGACTCTCTCACAACTGTCTTACTTATACGTAAGATATAGTATATAAAAGTGTCAGCTCATCATTGAAGCCAACTGAAGTATTTTTGAGCCTGGTCCTATCATTCTGTGCCTTCTTCCAAGTTGCTAATAAAAATGATGACAAAGTACTATAATGTGAGGTACTACCTCAAACTCATTAGGATGATTGCTAGCCAAAAGAAAAAAAAATCAGAAAATAACAAGTGTGGGCAAAAAATTTAGAGAAATTAGAACTCTGTGCATTGTTGGTAGAATGTAAAATGGGAAAACAGGATGGAGGTTCCTCAAAAAGTAAAAAATACAACTATCTTATGACCCAGCAATTCTACCTCTGGGTATATACCCCAAAGAATTGAAAACAGGATCTCGAGGAGATATTTGCACACCCATGTTCATAGCGGCTCTGTTCACAATAGTCAAGAAGTGAAAGCAACCCAAATATCCATCAGTCTTTTGGGGTGGGACTTACTATGAAGAAGGGCAGCAGTGATGGTTGAAATCTATCACTCTTTTGCAAGCCTGAGACACAAATTATGACTTATCTGAAATTATTAAAGTTTTAACACTTTTAGTTGATTGATAATAGCAATTCACGTTGGAAAAATAGCACTTTTCTTAATTACCAATAGCTCATAAGAATAGAAAAGACAGGTGTTATCCTCTCTGTTTTATAGATATGGAAACTGAGACACAGTTATTAAGAGACTAAGTCATTCAGTTAACTTCAGAGCTGGAAAGAGACTTTACCAGCATACAAGAGAATACAAAAATCCACACAATTGTTTTTATAATTTATTGTCAAGGGGAAATTTTTTGTTCTGTTTTGCTTTTCCCCTTGAGGAACTGAAATGTTTTCTCCTTTCTGATTTTAAAGTAAACTAACTTCTGTGTCTTTCTTTTTCCCTTCAAATGTGCTACTCAGTCACTGCAACTCTATTTGTCTTCATAATCAGCATGCTTGCTTTTCTCTCTTCTACTTAGTACTGATTTTCTATTTCTATTGTCTCAACCTTTATGTCTACATTACCTTTTGTTGGAACCTGCCTCAAGTCCTTTTCCAAAAGAAGCAGGCTGTGAATAAATGAGTGAGTGAAGGGCTAGTTAGCCTGGACACCCTATGCTTTGTCTTCAATATTTGTAATAATTTCCTCCAAGTTTTAAGATAACATATAGCATTTAGGGAGGCAGAGAAACTCTGAATGCAGGCAAGGAGACTACAGGACCCTGAAGGAACACTAAAGGAGCAGGGAGAGGGACTTCAAGTATTTGATGCTTTATACACTTTTTCTGCCTTAATCCTTACTATAATTCTGTGAGGCAGGGGCTTAGTGTCCCCATTTTACAGATGCGAAAAGTGAGGCTCAGAGAAGTTCAGTAACTCACTCAAGGTCACAAAGTCAGCCTTGATATGGATCCTGGAAGAGAACCCAGAATAAAGTCCAGAGCCAAAGCCTTTTCAGACTGGACTTTCTGGTCTCCAAATCAAAATCATCTGAAAGGTTTTCCACACCTCTACAAGATGCCAGTTTGTGTTCCACATATTTGGTGCAGGGAAGGGAACAGAGACTGAATATATTAAAAAAAAATAAGTTCCTTCCTTACCTCCCCAACTTTTCCAACCACCCACCCCCATCCTGCCCCTGGAAAAGCTGCAACCCAGTGGTCAGGGAAGATAGTTTGATGAACTTCCTTTTGTGCAGTATTGGCATGATTCTGCCACTTGGAGCCTCCTGATGGTTTCATGTAAATGGACCTAGACAGAAAGTGAGGAAATGGGGTATGGCAGGCCTCCCACCAGCTCAGCAGCCCTACCTTTCTCACAGTAGGGCTCCCCATCTTCCATGTGGAAGAGGCTGTTCCCAAAGGGCTTCTTGCAGGCTGCACAGATGAAGCAAGTGGTGTGCCACGTCTGTTTCAGTGCATGCATCACTTCCTGAGGAAAAGAGTCTTGGTTCAGGAGAGAAAGGTTCAGGGGCAGGGGAGCTGGGCTTGCCTTCCTCACCAGACCCTGGTCAATGCCAGAGCATCCCATCTGGGAGCAAGGCAGGAGAGCCCAGGTAACAGGCCTTGATGCTCCGAGTAAAGGCTCTCAAAGATGGGGTTCCTATTCATTCAGCACTTGCTGGGTGCCAGGTTCTGAGTGTGCTTATATAACTGTGATACTTAACACTCCCATCAAACCTGGAAGGAAGGCACTGCTTGTTATTGCCATTGTACCAAAGGGGTATCCAGGATCAAGGCTACATGCAGGTGCATGGTAAGGTCAGGCTATGAAGCCATAACTTGCTTTGCAGAAGCTCTAACACCACTTCAAGCTGTGTAGCCCAGGCATGTAATCATCTCTCACTTCAAGATCATTTGCTCCCCAGTTCATTGGTGGCAAACCAACTTCCTTCCAGAATAGAAATGGAGTGGCCCTCTCTGTTAACAGCAACTTCTCAGTTTTCTTGGGGGAGGGGAAAAGACAAGGGTCAGAGAAGAAGGATGCTGCCTGCCCACTTACCCCCATGATTTTGGTGTTGCACTTGGCACAGGTTGGGGCAAAGAACTGCTCATAACACCGCTCGCAGTAAACGTTGCTCTGCTCCTCCACAAAGCACACGTCTGCCAGGGAGGACTTGCAGTAGGCACAGTTGAACTCTTCTGGGTGCCAGGAGCGCCCCATAGCTACCAGAAAGGGGCCCCTGGGAAGCAGAGAACAGCACCTACTAAGGCAGCCTCAAAAGCTTGAGATCCCCAAGAATGCCCATACTTTGACCCAATAACCCTGACTTTCGTGATTGTTCTGATGATATAATGTAAAATTCAGATAAAGCTCCTTGCAGAAAGATGTTCCCTGCTGTATTAGTTACAACAGAGAACTGGGAAGCAATTCAAACATCAAACATATTATGGAATATCTATTCAATTGACTACTGATGATTACAACAGGAAGAGCAATGATTATGGGGCTGAAGCTAACGTTTACTAAGTGCTTACTCTGTATGAGGCACTGGTCAGGAAGAAATCTGTATTTATTAATTTAATTCTCACAACAGTCCTGTGAAGTAATTATAATTATGATACCCATTTTCAGAGAAGGAAACTGAGGCACATAGAAGTTAAGTAATTTGTTCAAGTTCATACATACGGCTAGTATGATAGACCCAAAACACAAACTTAGGGAGTCTAGCTCCACCTTAGCAATCAGAAGAGTGTGACTATGAGGAAATGCTTTATGTTTTAATCTTCCTTTCCAAATTTTCTAATTCCTCTCTGAGATGTGTTACTTTATTTTTAAATAAAAGTATGTTTTTCATATATATGTAAGCTTACCACACTTATAAACACAATACTGTAAAATACTATATTCAAACAAGTACCACCCATCACCCTGGCTTCTAAGCTTGAAATGACTTATTTTCATTATAGTAGCAGATGCCTACCAAAGCCCCGTCTCTGGAAAGACCCAGAAGTAACCCTAAAGGAAAGCTGGGTCAAAACCAGCATTGTCGGCCAGCTTGCAACATTCCCAATAAACCTACTAACAATAAGACCTGCCATTCCCAGAACCAGGCCTTAGCCTAAGGGGAAATTCCTGGCACCAGACACCACACTGGGAGCTTCACCCATTTAACTCATGGAATCCTCCCAGCTCCCCAGGGAAGTGGGTGTCACACAGGGACAAAGCTCAGAGAGGGTCAGACCAGATGTTGACCCAAAGGGACCTGAAGCTGCCCTGCACACAGCCTTCTCCTTATACCTGCTCTCCCACTCCCCAGCCCTAACATAGGGCTCAGACAGTGGGTAAGCAACCTGTACCTCTACCCTTCCATCACCCCAACATAGGACCACAGCTGGACCGTACCGTATGACATTGTTGCAGTGGCCACAAAGCGGAGTCCGGCTGCTGGCTGGGAAGCGCTCTGCCCTCTGGAAGGTGCCCCTAGCAAGGGGGGACACTGGGGAACCTTGGGTGTAGGCAGGGGTCCCTCCAGGCAGAGTCTGCTTACTGAGGGAGGTGGTACTCTTGCCAGGGGCAAACTTCTGAGAAAAGCTGTCATCTGTCGTCCAAGGGGGGCGGCTGGCAGATTCAGTAGGGCCCCCACTATAGGCCACAGATGAGGCAGGGTTATAGCTTGGGGCAGGTGATGGGGTATAGGCTGGTGCTGGAGAAGGGGAGTAGGTAGGGGCAGGGGAGGGGGAGTAGATGGGAACAGGGGAGGGGGTATAGGCAGGGGCAGGGGAGGGGGTGTAGGGAGTTGGACTATAATTTGCCCCTGGAGGTGGGCTGTAGGTAGATGCAGGCACTGTAAACCAAAAAGATCCAAAGAAAATGTGTCAGGAATTCACTCCCCCCAAGTTCCCACAACCCCACCCCCAGCCAGAGAAAGGCAGCTTTAATATTAGAGCAGGATAGTTCCAGTTTTTGCCCTAAGAGACACAGTTCTGAGCTTCTTGGTGCCCTGGATTTGAATTTGCCACTGGACCCAAGGGAGATAAGAGCCCCCAGAAGCTCAGAGCCCCAATGAGGCTGAGAAAGGGGTAGAGCTATAAATATCTGCAGCTGCAGGGGGCTTGCCAGGCCTGGGCTGCCAGGGGCCTGCAGAGAGCAGTGGGTGGAGGTGGGGTGCTGGGCAAGGCTCCTGTCTAGGTCCAGAAGAGGATGGGAGTGGGTCAGCTTGGCCTTGACTGGAAGATGCTTCAAGTACACACTGACCTTTGATTTGACATCTGAAATGCCCCAGCTGCATGCATTTGCTGAACTTGGACCTAGTCCAGTCTTTGGGACAAAGTAGATGACAGGGCAGAGGGATTTCAGGTTTGGGTTTCAGGATTAGCTACAAATATTTTCCTGAAACACACCTTAGCTTGATTTGTATTGGAGGAAATTCCATCTTGATTTGATAAGGGTGAGGGTCTTTTTTAAAAATATTTTTTTATTTATTTTTAGAGAGTGGGGAAGGGAAGGAGAAAGCGTGAAAGAGAAACATCAGTGTGTGGTTGCCTCTTATGTGTCCCCTACTGGGGACCTGGCCTGCAACCCAGGCATGTGCCCTGACTGGGAATCAAACCGGTGACCCTTTGCTTCACAGGCCCTTGCTCAATCCACTGAGCTACACCAGCCAGGGCAAGGGGTGAGGCTCTTGAAGGAGTCACTCAGAGGGTGCCTAGGACAGAGATGCTAAGGTGACACAGCTTGGTTTAGCTGCCTTTGGGGCACCTGTGCTCTCCCACATCACTTTGGTAGAAAGTGAGAGTGGGTCCAAGTGACTGTAGAGGCTACCAAGAAAGTCAGAGTGTAAGTACAATGCACTGCCCCACTTCTGGGACCCCCTCCTCCAGGTCACTGAGAGCTAAAAACCTTTTTGGGAAGACAGCACAAAGGAACATTGCAACTGCTCATCCAAAGCCCTCTTTCTGAGGTCTGGACCCTCAAAAACCCAGGTATCTTAGTGCTCTGTTGCCCTCAGTGTGGAACCAGCTTCATCCTGCATACACTGTCCATCCAGCCAGCCTCCTCTTCCAATGAGGAAGGTTCCAGATGTCTCCTCAACTCAGTTTGCTCTTATGGAAAGAGGCTTCATTCTCCCACCCTGGGGAGCATGTCAGGGCAGCCTCCTCCCTATTCCTGAGCCTGGCCTGGGTGAATGGACAGTGCTGAGGGGTATTGAGGCAGCCCCCACCAGGATCCAGCTTACAAAGTAAGGCCTTTCACAGGGATGAAGGCCCTGACCTGGCCTCTGGTCTCTCCCACCTGTTTCCCCTAGACCACCTTGAGTGGCTTGTGGTCCACAGTTCCAATTCTGTACCTTCTACTCCCAGATGACTGGCTCTTCAGAGCTGAGTACAATGGAAACCTCTGCACTGGGGGTGAGGAAGGACCAGACCTGTGTTATAGAAAGCTGAGGGGGTAAAATCCTCCACAACCCTGCCCTGGAGCCACCTGGGAGCAATGCTGGCTTCATCCTCAAGGAATCTTGTCCCCACTTACTGAGGAAGTAGACACGGCACAGAACAGATCATCTTTGTTAGTCCTGTTTGCAGTTGAGGTCACTGAAGCTCAGATAGCGCCAGTAAATGAAAAAGTGAGTCTCCAAAACCATTCTATCACCCCAAGCTACCTCTGTAAAGAACACAAATCCAATTTCCATAAAATCTTGGTGTACCATGTGATCGCAGAGCAACTGTCAACACGGAAGACGTCCCATCCTCTGGCATGTAGCACAGCCTTCAGAAGCACAGCTCTATTATATCCTGGCTATGTCCTTGGACAACTTCCTTAACATTTCTGGGACTGAATTTCCTTGTCTAAAAATGGCAATAATAATTCTTAGTACCTTACAGTGTTATGAGGATTAAGTAGCTGGTACGGTTTGTGTGTCACAAAATACTACTGAGGATGGTAGAGATTAGTGACTGTTGGGTCTCATCAGGATGAACCGTTAGCTCAGCTCATAGCCTGGTGGTCACCTGAGGGAGCCCAGCCCAGGAAGACTGAGATGTGGGGGATTGGAGTGGGAGACATGACACCCTGAAGTTAGATAACCTGAGACTAAGTCTACTCACCAGTTGTGGTACGCATGACACTCCCTGCCTGCCTCTCAGGCAATAGTGGGCACCTACTAGAGTGACATACTGCGTGCATTTTGTATATTTGTAAAGTCCAAATTCAAGGTGTTGTCACTCTCCATAACAACCCTGCATGGCTCCCAAGTGCCCAGAGCAGAGAGTCTCAAGTGCTGGGGGAGAAGCGGGTGAGGAGAATGCCTCAAGGGACTGGATGTGGAGAAAGATGATCTAGCAGAAATTCAGAGCAGACTCACTCCTCTGTTATATATAATGGGGTTTTACGCAAAATTTTGTTTCCTTTTTTGTAATGTGGAGGAATTTCTGCTATAAGAGATTAAAACAGAAGCTCTAATCCTGTGCTGTCCCAGATGGCTGTTGAGAGTTTGAAATGTGGCTTGTCTGAATTGAGAAGTGCTATCAGAGCAAAATAAACACCAGATTTTAAAGAGTTAGTATAAAAAAAGAACATAAAATATCTCATTAATAATTATTTTATATTGGCTATATATTAAAATGATATTGTGAATATACTGAATTAAATAAAATAGAGAGGACTTCTGGTCAAGATGGCAGCATAGGTAAACATAACTCACCTCCTCACACAACCACATCAAAATTACAACTGAACTATAAAACAACCATCACTCAGAACCCTCAGAAATCAAATTAAATGGAAGTCTGACAACTACAGAATTAAAGAAACCACATCCATCCACACTTGTAGGAGGGGCAGGGATGTGAAACAGGCTAGTCCCACATGCATGTGTGGTGGATAAAAATTCAGGAGGGATATCTCGGGAATGAGGAGTCCCAGCCCCACATCAGGCCCTCCAGCCCAGGGTTCCAGTGCCAGAAAGATAAGTCCCCATAACTTCTGGTTGCAAAAATCAGTAGGGATTGAGTCATTGGAAGAAACTTTTGGAGTCTCAAGCAGTTCTTTTTAAAGAACCCCCACATAGACTTACTCTGACACACTCCCTCTGAGTGCCAACACCAGGATACCAGTGGCACACAGGGAGGAAATGAAGTATCTGGCATCAAGGCAAGAGCTGGGGGACAGCTTTCTCCCAGACAGAAAAGCAAGCAGAGGCCATTGCCCCTTTTATGAACCCTGCCCCCATAAAGTTATAGAGCCAGAAAATGGGTGGCAGGTGGATGCCATATCTGAGACCTAGCTAACACTGTTTGCCCTGTCCTGGAGGTACCCTGAGGCTCTGTCCCACCCAACTTATGGGCTCATCCAAGCTGTGCACAGTGACTTTTCTATAAGAATGGCTGCTCTTGGCTCATGCTTCACAACTTCCTAAATCTTCTCAAACACGCAACAATCAGACTCAGTGAGCTCCAGCCCCCATACCTCTTCCTAAGTGGCCCCAGGCCTCATAGTAGCAGCAGTCAGCCTAGATACACAGTTTGGCTTCTCCTGGGAACCTCCAAGCACAGAACAAGTAGCAGCCATCTCAGTGTGTTATATAGCTCATGCAGGGTGGCCCAGGGCAGAACACAGGTGTGGCTGACCTTGGTCTGCACCACCAGGAAAACCCCAGAGCCTGAACACCCAATGGACAGCTACAGACCAGGTTGGAGCACTACCACCCTGCCCCTGCACAGCTGATGGTGGTCAGTGGTCATAGCCAGTCCTTGAGACTGACTGGCATAGATAAATCCCTCTGATTGGCCTGCTAAGAGAAATCAAGGCTTAACTACAAGAGGAGGGTGTACTCAGTCCACACAAAGGGCACACCTTGAGTACCCAGTTTGGGGGAGGCTGTGCCACTAGACCCGACAAGGACACCTCCCACATTAGACCACTACCAAGACCGCTACCAAGACAGGGAGTCATAGCAGCTCTACCTAGTACATAGAAACAAACATAGGGAGGCTGCCAAAATAAGGAGACAAAGAAACATGGCCCAAATGAAAGAACATATCAAAAGTCCAGGAAAGTCTACGGCCATACCACCCTAAATGCGCCCGATCTCGTCTGATCTCCGAAAAGTCCAGGAAAAAAAAAACTAAAGAAAATGGAGATAAGCAATCTGTCAGATTTGGAGTTTGAAACAATAATTATAAGGATGCTCAAGGAACTTAGGGAGGACCTCAATAGCATAAAAAGATCCAGTCAGAAATGAAGGATTCACTAATTGAAATAAAGACCAATTTACAGAGAAACAACAGTAGAGTGAATGAAGCCAAGAATCAAATCAATGATTTGGAACACAAGGAAGCAAAAAACAACCAAGCAGAACAAGAAGAAAAAAAAAAGGAATAAAAAAAAAATGAGGACTTCCGCCAAGATGGAGAAGTAGGTGGAGGGTCCACCTCGCCTCTGTGCACAACCAAATCTAAGAACAACTATTTTTAACAGCAGTCACAACCAAGCCACACGGAAAATCGACAATACGGAGTCCAAAGGACAACTAGATACTCGGCTGGACCGGTACGAGGAGCCAGGCCAGCAGCGGAGCAGGTTAGCAAGAAAAAATTCCCGGGGCGGTGCGCGGTTCGCGCAGGGAACCGAGGGCGAGGGCGCGATTGCGAGCGAGCTGGCTGCCGGAGCGCACAAAGAAGGGGCGCGGTGGGTCGCTCAGTCGCGCGCATTTACGTGCGGAGAAGCCAGTGAGAAGGGAAGCCGGCGCAATACCGATCGGATAAACCCCATGCGTGCGGAGTGACTGGAAACGCTGGGCTAGCGGAGAGGAACGCCATTGCTCCCTCTCTGACCCCGCCCCCACAC